ATATATGATATATATATATGTATATATATATATGTATATATATATGTATATATATATGTATATATATGCATATATATGTATATATACGTATATATACGTATATAATATATACTGTCTCTTATACACATCTAGATGTGTATAAGAGACAGCAAGACAGGTCTCAATTTACCATCTTCCATAATCCAGCCCAGTTTGCATGGATCAGGGATTTCTGGATGAATAACAGTATCCTGGCTCCATATATTGGCCTGCAGATGTACACGCAATATATGCTGATATAAGGCTCCTGCAGTTGGTGGCAGCTTATCTACGCCTTGATTGTTTGGCAGAGTTTTGAATCTTTTCAATCGTAAAGTTGAGGCATCTTTAGCAGATACTTTCTTCGTTACGAGAAGACTACAAAAATTCCAGTATTCATGCCAAGTGGAAGTTTTCTGAAGATCAATACAAACCAGTCTGTATCATTTCCAGATTCAGAGGCCACTTCTATGCCATGTGGAATCATTAGAGTATCAGCTTCTTCTTGTGCTTACAGCTGTTGTTGGAGGATGCTCTGGGGTGTTTGTTTTGACATCTTGCCGTGTGAATTGTGATAGGTACCGCTGAAACCAGAAAAAGAGTGGCTCTTCAGCCAATATACGATCATCTTGGACAAGAAAGAGCAGTGACACTACCAGGCTTCCATGCTATCACCGGTTGTGATAAAAATTTTCAGGCCCGTAGCCAGGTTCTTTCAAGGGGGGTTTGCTGGGCGTGAGGTCCACGGTCGAAGCCCCGGTGGGGTCGGCGAAACCCCCAGAGCAAGTGGATTGGAATTTTTGTGCTTTATAGGTCTAAATAATGCTATAAAAGCAGATATGTTTGAAAAGGTCTTTGTCTAGGTGGGTCTGCAGTGCACCAGGATTAGATAAGCTGCCATCAACTGCAGGAGCCTTATATCAGCATATAATGCATGTACATCTGCAGGCCAATATGTGGAGCCAGGATTCTGTTATTCATCCAGAAATCCCTGATCCATGCAAACTAGGCTGGTTTATGGAAGATGGTAAATTGAGACCTGTCTTGTCAGAAAAGCAGGCTGGCCCAGAAGCAGTTGCTGAGCTGTTGTCTAGTGTTTCTCATTCATCAGACAGTGACAGTAATGAAGAAAGTGATAATGAACATTAGCATATTATAAAATCACTGATGTAGGTAAATATAAGTAAATCACAGAATGTAATATGGTTAGATAATACTAACACACACACACACCCACACATTATATATATATATATATATATATATATATAAGATATATATTTATATATGATATATATATGTATATATATATGTATATATATATATA